CCTTGATTATGACCTTTCGTCACGTTAATGTGATGAAAATCTATATGCAGATAAGTAAATGAGGTGCAGCCATTCAGTCTGCCTGAGCTCTACATGATGGAATGCCCGAGGTGGAGTTTGGAAAATTTTAGACAGAAGGTGCTGCTGTGAGTGAAGAGACCTGGATTATCTCCTGATGTGGCTCTTTGCTAAATTGCCCAGTGGTCCTGTTAACACAGTGTTGTGGCAGCTGCCCCCATCTTGTCCCTTGAATTTCTCAGGAATGAAGAAATTAAAAAAACTAGGAAAATGAGGTTCTAAGGAGAATGTGGGAGTCTGTCATTTTAGGGACTCCAAAATATCTGTGTTCTATGGGAATATTGAAGAACAAAGGGAAAGATGTCCTGCTTTTTGAGAAATGTAACTGTGGGCAGTACCTTGGATTGACTTAAGTGTTACATCAGAGACTGGAGAAAACATTGAAGTTCCTCTGTTAATGACATCTGGAGAGCAGCTGGATGGCACAGCAGTTAAATCACCACTGGAAATACCCACATTCCTTATGAAGTGCCTGGTTCAAGTCTTAGCTCCTCCATTTCTAATCCAGCGTCGTGCTAATGCTAGGAGGCAACAGATAGATGATGGCTCAAGGACATGGGTCTCTGTCACCACGTGGAAGACCTGGATTGAGCTTTGGGATCCTGGCCCAGGCTGTTGCAGGCATTTGGGGAGTGAACTACAAATGAAAGATATCTGTCTGCCTGTCTGTCTTTCTGCCTTTCAAACTAGACAAAAATAAATTTAAAATTCTTTTAAACAAGTCAGGTGCCTGGCACTGTGGAATAGTGGGTAAAGCCACTGCCTTCAGTTCCGGCATCCTCTGTGGGTGCTGCTTTGAGTCCTTGCTATACTACTTCTGATCCAGCTCTCTGCTATGGCCTGAGAAAGCAGTAGAAGATGGCCCAAGTGCTTGGGCCCCTGCACTTGTGTGGGAGACCAGGAAGATGCTCCAGGATCCTGGCGTTAGATAGGTCCAGCTCCAGTCATTACAGCATATGGGGAGTGAATCAGCGGAAGGAAGAACTCTCTGTCTGCCTCTGCCTCTCTGTAACTCTGACTTTCAAATAAATAAATCTTTTAAAAAAATTGCTTGATTTGTGAAGTCACTGACAAGTGTTGAATCTAGACATTGTTCATCAATTAGAGAGAAAATCAACAAAAGGTGAAAAAATATGTCCTTTTTTTAAAAAAAAAGATTTTATGTATTTATTTGAGATTAGACAGAGAGAGGGAGAGACAGAGAGAAAGGTCTTCCATCCACTGGTTTACTCCCCAAATGGTCACAATGGCCAGAGCTGGGCTGATCTGAAGCCAGGAGCCAGGAGCTTCTTACAGGTCTCCATGTGGAGGGGCCCAAGCACTTGGGCCATCTTCCACTGACTTCCCAGGCACGTCAGCAGGGAGCTGGATCAGAAGTGGAGCAGCTGGGACTCCAACCGGCGCCCACATGGCCACAACGCTGGCCCCCAGCTGCTTTCACTTCTGACCCCGCTTCCTGATAATGTGCCAGGGAAAGCAGCTGAAAATGACCCAAGAGCCTGGGCCCCCATCACCTTTGTGGGACATGGAGATGGAGTCCCTTGTTCCTGGCTTTGGCCTGGCCCAGAACTGGCTATTGGGGCCATTCGGCAAGTGAAACAGTAGATAGAAGACTTCTGTCTCGGCTGGCGCCGCGGCTCAATAGGCTAATCCTCCACCTTGCGGCGCCGGCACCCCGGGTTCTAGTCCCGGTCGGGGCGCCGGATTCTGTCCTGGTTGCCCCTCTTCCAGGCCAGCTCTCTGCTGTGGCCCGGGAGTGCAGTGGAGGATGGCCCAAGTGCTTGGGCCCTGCACCCCATGGGAGACCATGGGAGACCAGGAAAAGCACCTGGCTACTGCCTTCGGATCAGCGTGGTGTGCCGGCCGCAGCACGCTGGGCGCGGCGGCCATTGGAGAGTGAACCAACGGCAAAGGAAGACCTCTGTCTCTCTCTCTCACTGTCCACTCTGCCTGTCCAAAAAAAAAAAAAAAAAAAAAAAATTAAAAAAAAAAACTTCTGTCTCTTCTCTCTCTTGTTTTTTCAAATAAATAAATCTCTTTTTTAAAGATTTTTTTATTTATTTGAAAGGCACAGTTACAGAGCAAGAGAGAGAGAGATTAACAGAGAGAGATCTTCAATCCACTGGTTCACTCCCCACATGGCTGCAACAACTAGGGCTGAGCCAGACCGAAGCCAGGATGCAGGAGCTTCTTCCGTACCTCTGTATAGGAACAGGGGCCCAAGGACTTGGGCCAGATTCTGCTGCTTTCCCAGGCCATTAGCAGAGAGCTGGATGGGAAGTAGAGAAACAGGACTCGAACCAACATTCATTTGGGATGCTGGCACCACAGGCAGCAGCTTTACCCATTACGCCACAATGCTGGCCCCAGTAAATCCTTTTTTTTTTTTTTTAAATGAAACAAAGAGAAGTTCTTGAAAAAATTATAAAGCTCTAAAATAGTTTTGTAGAAGTAATTACAGCCGGCGCCGCGGCTCACTAGGCTAATCCTCCACCTTGCGGCGCCGGTAATTACAAAAAAAAAAAAGATACCTGATGTCACTGTCTCTGAATTTGAAAAATTGTAACTCCATATTAAAAAATTGACAATTGATTATTCTGAGGATTAGGGGTTGTGATTGTAACCTGAGTTTTGTTAGATTTTATAATTTTTGTTTTATCTTCATTTTAAAGATAAAATGCCAGCTGCATTTTTATTTTCACACATAACTGTATTTTGGAACCCTTCGTATGCAAGTTCGCCCATCCCAATTCTTCTCAAATTTTTATTTTCATTTTATTTAAATCTGGAAGGATAGACCAACAAATTATGTGGAGTAGACTTTATTTCCTCTTAAAAATTGGTGAGGAGGTATTATTGATTGCAGTAGGTATTATTGATTATTGACTGTATTAAGATTGCAGTGTTTTCAGATCCTCCATAAAAATAGTTGAGATGTATTATGTCTTATTCCATTCAGTTTCAGATGTTAAAACATGTGCCGGCTTCATGCACAGTGATGCCAGCGTCCCTTAGGTGTGCCTGTTGGAGTCCTGGTATTCTGCTTCCAATTCAGCTCCCTGCTAATGCACCTGGGAGAGAAGTGAAGGACAGCCCAAGTACCTGGGCCCCTGCACCCACACAGGGGACCTGGATGGCGTTCCAGGCTCGTGGCTTTGGCCTGGCGCCGCGCTGACCATCGTGGCCATTTGAGGAGTGAACTGCTGGGCAGAAGATCTCTCTGTCTCTCCCTCTCTTTTTGTAACTCTGCCTTTCAAATAAATAAATAAGTCTTTTTAAAAATATCACCATTTAGGGAGCTGGCTCTGTGGCACAGCGGGTTAACACCCTGGCCTGAAGCGCTGGCATCCCATAAAGGCGCTGGTTTGAGTCCCGCTCCACTTCCCATCCAGCTCTCTGCTGTGGCCTGAGAAAGCAGTAGAAGATGGCCCAAAGTCCTTGGGCCCCTGCACCTGCATGGGAGACCTGGAAGAAGCTCCTGGCTCCTGGCTTTGGTCCAGCCATTGCGGCCAATTGGGGAGTGAACCATCGGATGAAAGACCCTCCCACCCCCCATCTCTCCTCTCTCTGTGTAACTCTTTTTTTTTTTTTAATAATTAAATCACATATTTGTTTTTTTAATTTATTTGACTGTTAGTCAGTGAGAGAGAGAAAGGTCTTCCTTCTGTTGGTTCACCCCTGAAATAGCTGCTATGGCCGGAGCTATGCCGATCCGAAGCCAGGAGCCAGGTGCTTCTCCCTGGTCTCCCACATGGGTGCGGGCGCCCAAGCACTTGGGCCATCCTCCACTGCCTTCCCGGGCCACAGCAGAGAGCTGGACTGGAGGAGGAGCAGCCGGGACTAGAACCCGGCGCCCATATGGGATGCTGGTGCCGAAGGCGGAGGATTAACCAAGTGAGCCATGGAGCTGCCCCTCTGTGTAACTCTGTCAAATAAATAAATACATCTTTTTAAAAAATCACTTTTTACCAATATCCTTTTTAAAAAAAAGATTTATTTATTTATTTGAAAGTAGAGTTACAGAGAAGTAGAGGCAGAGAGAGATCTTTCATCCACTGGTTCATTCCCCAAATGGCTGCAACAACCAGAGCTGGGCTGATCCAAAACCAGAAGCCAGGAGCTTCTTCCAGATCTCCCACATGGGTGCAGGGACCCAAGGACTTGGGGCATCTTTTTTCTTTTTTTATTTTTTGACAGGCAGAGTGGACAGTGAGAGAGAGAGAGAGAAAGGTCTTCCTTTGCCGTTGGTTCACCCTCCAATGGCCGCCGCGGCCGGCACACTGCGGCTGGCGCACCGCGCTGATCCGATGGCAGGAGCCAGGAGCCAGGTGCTTTTCCTGGTCTCCCATGGGGTGCAGGGCCCAAGCACTTGGGCCATCCTCCACTGCACTCCCGGGCCACAGCAGAGAGCTGGCCTGGAAGAGGGGCAACTGGAACAGAATCCGGCACCCCGACCGGGACTAGAACCCGGTGTGCCGGCGCCGCAAGGCAGAGGATTAGCCTAGTGAGCCGCGGCACTGGCTGGGGCATCTTCTACCGCTTTCTCAGGCCATAGCAGAGAGCTGGATTGGAAGTGGAGCAGCCAGGTCTTGAACTGATGGCCATATGGGATGCTAGCACTGCAGGCGGCAGCTTTATCCGCTATGCCACAGCACCGGCCCCCCAACATCCTTTTAAATTAGGGTAGTTGGGTACAGATTCATGAAGCAAAAGGAAGTACTCTAAACCACTTAAAGAGCTTCAAAGAAATACACTATTGAAAATTAGACGTCTCAGAAGGGACGGATGAAAACCTGGATATTTGCTGATACAAGCAAAATGGTGCCGCCTGCCTTTGGGGGGCTTTGTCAGTATTTGCTGAGGGAATGGACTCTGAATGCAGCCTGGTCTAAATGTGTCTCTCTTGTCCACACTGCCCGCAGAAGGATCCTATTTCACCAGTTCCAGAGTGGGAGGCAAACGGGGCATGATCAAGGAGCTTGCCGTGCCCCTGCAAGGGCCGGAAGATCACACGCTGCTGTTTGAGTCGCGGTTCGAGAGTGGGAATCTGCAGAAAGCTGTCAGAGTGTGAGTAACGGAGGAGATTCCCACGGGGGTCATGAGTGGGTGACTGAGAGGTGTCTTCGCGAACAATACTAGGAATGAGGAGTGTTTGTAAGAAGTGATGAGGGGCAGCACCATGGCACGATGGGTTAAGTTGCTGCCTCCATACTAGCAGCCCTCCTTGGCCTGGCTGCGCTGCTTTTTTTTTTTTTTTTTTTTTTTTTTTTTTTTTTTTTTTACAGGCAGAGTGGACAGTGAGAGAGAGAGAGAGAGAAAGGTCTTCCTTTACCGTTGGTTCACCCTCCAATGGCCGCTGAGGCCGGCACACCACGCTGATCCGAAGGCAGGAGCCAGGTGCTTCTCTTGGTCTCACATGGGGTGCAGGGCCCAAGCACTTGGGCCATCCTCCACTGCCTTCCCGGGCCACAGCAGAGAGCTGGCCTGGAAGAGGGGCAACCGGGACAGAATCCGGCGCCCCGACCGGGACTAGAACCCGGGGTGCCGGCACCACAAGGCAGAGGATTAGCCTAGTGAGCAGCGGCACCGGCCTGCTCCACTTCTGATCCAGCTCCCTGCTAATGTACGTGGGAGGGCAATGGAAGATGCCCCAGGTACTTGGGCCCCTTCATCCATGTGGGAGACCTAGGTAGAGCTCTGGTCTCCTTGTTTAGGCCTAGACCAGCCCCAGCTGTTGCGGCCGTTTGGGGAGTACCAGCCGGTGGAAGATCTCTTTCTGACCCTCCCTCTCTCTGTAACTCTACCTTTCAAATAAATAAATCTTAGAAAACAAGGAGAGGTGACAGGGAATGACTGTGGGGGTGAAAAAGAATTGGAATAATTATGGTTCATGTTTTTTCCCAGAATAATACATTATGTAAATTGTTTCTTCTGTTATAAATTGGTGCTCACTTGAAATTTATATTGCAAAAAATATATACATAAATTTCCCATAATAATACCTCCAGATGCAGTAGTTTATTACAAGGATGCTTCAAAAAACTTATGAAAAATGGAATGAAAAGAAATTTATCTTGGTGCAAAATTTTTTGGAAATCCATGTGTATATGGGGTCTTCAAAAAAGTTCATGAAAATGCATACTATGAAAAAACCATGTATGGCTTTCAAAATTCTTTTGCACCAAAATAAACTTTTAAAAAATTAGTTTATTTAAGCCAGTGCTGCGGCTCACTAGGCTAATCCTCCACCTTGCGGTGCCAGCACACCGGGTTCTAGTCCCGGTCGGGGCGCCGGATTCTGTCCCGGTTGCCCCTCTTCCAGGCCAGCTCTCTGCTGTGGCCCGGGAGTGCAGTGGAGGATGGCCCAAGTGCTTGGTCCCTGCACCCCATGGGAGACCAGGAGAAGCACCTGGCTCCTGCCATCGGATCAGCGCAGTGCGCCAGCCGTAGCGCGCCGGCCGCAGCGGCCATTGGAGGGTGAACCAACGGCAAAGGAAGACCTTTCTCTCTGTCTCTCTCTCTCACTGTCCACTCTTCCTGTCAAAAAAATTTTTTTTAATTAGTTTATTTATTTGAAAGCAAAATGACAGGGAAAGAGGGAGGGAGGGGAGGGTGGGAAGGAGAGGGAAAGAAGAAGGGGGAGAGAGAAAGAGAGAGAGAATCGATCTTCCATTGCTGGTTTGCTCCCCAAGTGGCTGCAATAGCAAGGACTGGGCCAGGTTGAAATGTGTTAAATGTGTTAAACACATTTAAACACTCTAAACACATTCTTTAAACACTTTATTCCTAGTTAGTGCCAAATCACCCTCCAATGTGATTTCAGTTCGCAGCAGCAGTGTATAGCGCTGCCTGTTCCCAGTGCTAGAATGATGATGAGATAGAGGGAGACATGACATCTGGCTTGAGTTTTCATTTCTTTAAGTATGCATGTGGGTGAGTATCTTTTCATATATTTTTAGCTATTTGTATTTTCCCTATGCAAGTCAGTCCTGACTGTTTTAAACAAGGTGAATACATTCTGTCTTGAAGTAATTGATGACCAGAGATAAGAAACATTTCCACAGTGGGCACGCTGGCAGCCACCAGAGGGCTCTGGCCACTGCTGGGTGTGTTTCGGAGAAATGTAGCGCCGTGGTCAGTGCCTGGGGGACTCTGGGAGGACATCACAGGACTCCTGAACATCCCATGCAGCTTCCTCACCCTAAACAAACTTGCCTTTTCCAGGCTTCTGCAAATCTGATCTGTAAGTTAGAGAACCAGATAAATTAGACAATAACTGTTTCGATGCAGCAGGCTTTTCTATTGTAGTAACATCTCCTTTTACCAGGGGAAAACAGTATTATGCCAAATCTGCTTTTTGAGAGGCGTGTGAAGTCCCAGAGGTGTCCTTCTATTTTCTCCATTACAGAGGCACCTATGAGTACGAGCTTACCTTGCGAACTGACCTCTACACAAACAAGCACACGCAGTGGTTTTATTTTCGCGTTCAGAACACCAGGAAAGATACCACCTACCGCTTCACCATTGTGAACCTGCTCAAACCCAAGAGCCTTTATGCTGCAGGGATGAAGCCACTCATGTACTCCCAGCTGGACGCCAGCACCCACAGCATCGGCTGGAGGAGAGAGGGCAGTGAAATCAAGTACTATAAGAGCAACGCGGATGATGGGCAGCAGCCCTTCTACTGCCTCACGTGGACTGTTCAGTTTCCACATGACCAGGACACTTGCTTTTTTGCCCACTTCTACCCATACACGTACACTGACCTGCAGTGCTACCTCCTGTCAGTGGCAAACAACCCCACCCAGTCTCAGTTCTGCAAGCTGCGAACTTTATGCAGGAGCCTGGCAGGAAATACGGTCTACCTGCTCACCATCACCAACCCATCCCGGTCCCCGCAGGAGGCGGCCGCGAAGAAAGCCGTGGTCTTGAGCGCCAGGGTCCACCCTGGGGAGAGCAACGGCTCCTGGATTATGAACGGCTTTTTGGACTTCATCCTTAGCGATTCCCCAGATGCCCAGCTCCTCAGAGATGTCTTTGTCTTCAAGGTGGTTCCCATGTTAAATCCAGATGGTGTGATTGTGGGCAATTACCGGTGTTCACTGGCCGGAAGGGACTTGAACAGACGCTATAAAACCGTCCTGAAGGAGTCTTTCCCCTGCGTTTGGTACACCAGGAACATGATCCAAAGGTGAGACCTTTGATCTGTTGAACTTTCGGTGAATGCTAGGCGTGCCAGAGCCAGGCTCTAGCGTGAGGTCTCTTCTGTTGCGACAGGCATGGGTGTGGCTTTGGACTTTGAAGTCCGGGGCTTTGTTCACTTTTGTACTTCCAAATCTGGGCTTTCACTTTGAGTTGAAACTGAACATGCAGCACTGTGGCTACAGCCGTTTGACTTACAAGTGAAACCACTGAATGGAAAAGATGAGGAGAGTCACTGGTCTCCAAGATGCAACTCTGTGATTATAGCTAACAGTTCATTTGCATATGTATGAAGTGGCAGGCACTGTAGTCAATGTTTTACACACATGACCCATATAACCTTCGTGCTAACCCTGTGAGGTTAGGGAGCGTCAGGATCCCGTGATGTGTATGATGATAGAATGGCAGCCCAGCAAGGTTAAATGACTTGTGTGTGCACGCACAGCTAGTAAGTGACAGAGTAGACACCTGGACACAGGCCCTGTGGACCCAGAGTCTACGTTCTTTATTACCATGTAATGCTGCTAATCATACAGAAAGAAAATGAAGTCACGCTGCATTCTTCAAGCCTGTGTAAAAGCCGTTGAAGACTAGAATGTAATAGAGCCCACCCTGAAGGAGCAATGTCAATTGCAAATGAAAACAGAGCAAATAAAAATATGTGAATGTGTACCTTCTAAGCTGTGTAAATGGTAGGAAGTGTTGGGCGCAGGCAGAGTGGCTAAGAGCATGTGTGGGGATCAGACAGGCCTGACTGTACTACTGGCTGGTTTTGTGATTTTTTAGAATTTTTTTTATATTTATTTATCCATTTGAGAGAGCTACAGAGAGAAAGAGAGACAGAGAAAGGTCTTCTATAGTTTTTCTCCACTTCCTTGTCGGCCTACCCAAGGCCTACCCACTTCCTCTTTCCATGTCAGAACTTTCCATTTCAGGGCAGGTGTGTGGTGCAGTGGGGTAAGCTGCTACTGCTGACAGCTGCACCCCATATTGCAGTGCCAGTTCAAGTCCTGGCTGCTGCACTTCCAATCCAGTTTCCTGCTAATGCATCCTAGGAGGTGGCGGATGATGGCTGAAGTGCTTGGGCCCCTGCCACCCATGCAGGAGATCCATACGGAGTTCTGAGTTCCTGGCTTCAACCCAACCCAGCGCTGGCTGTTGCAGGCACATGGGGAATGAACCAGTCAGTGTATGGAAAATGTCTTTGCACTCCATCGCTCTGCCACTCTTCCTTTCAAGTAGATGAACATAAATAGATAAATTATTTAAAGAAAACTTTCATTTCAAGTCCCTCTGACTAGCAGAGGCCAGGGGTGCTGGTGACATGTTTTCAGCAATGGCTGAGGATGGGGATAGGGTCCTTTGAAGGCCACTGGAGTTGAGATTTTTGTAGTGGGGGAAGAAAGCTGTCGACAGCCATACTTAGGGAAGGCCCCAAATGATCCTTGATTATTTGCATGAATTTGGATGTCTACTGAATTCTTCATCTCTTTGACAGACTTCTTGAAGAAAGAGAAGTCCTCTTGTATTGTGATTTCCATGGCCACAGCCGTAAGAATAATATCTTCCTGTATGGCTGTAATAACAACAATCGCAAGTACTGGCTTCATGAGCGAGTCTTTCCTTTAATGTTAAGCAAAAATGCACCAGATAAGGTAAACACCTAAAGTAATCTGTCCATTGACTGAGGGACTAGAGGGCTCACTGTTCTTTTTTTTTTTTTAAAGAATATGTGTGTTCCCTGCAATGCAGAATGATCCAGAGGTCTTCGTTTTCTTTTAAGATTTTCATTTTTTTGGCCGGTGCTGTGGCTCACTAGGCTAATCCTCCGCCTGCAGCACCAGCACCCTGGGTTCTAGTCCCGGTTGGGGCACCGAATTCTGTCCTGGTTGCTCCTCTTCCAGTCCAGCTCTCTGCTGTGGCCAGGGAGTGCAGTGGAGGATGGCCCAAGTCCTTGGGCCCTGCACCCGCATGGGAGACCAGGAGAAGCACCTGGCTCCCGGCTTTGGACCGGCACAGCGCGCCAGCCGTGGCCGCCATTTTGGGGGTAAACCAATGGAAGGAAGACCTTTCTGTCTCTCTCTCTCTCTCATTGTCTAACTCTGCCTGTCAAAGAAAAAAAAAATTTTTCATTTTTGTTTATTTGACAAGTAGAGTTACAGACAGAGAGAGGGAAAGACAGAGAGAAAGGTCTTCGATCTGTTGTTTCACTCCACAAATGGCCACAATGGCAGAGCTAGGCCAAACTGAAGCCAAGAGCCAAGTGCTTCTTCCAAGTCTCCCACATAGGTGCAAGGGCCCAGGACTTGGGCCATCTTCCACTGCTTTCCAAGGCCATAGTAGAGAGCTGGATCAAAGGGGAGCAGCTGGGACTAGAACCAGGGCCCATCCAGGATGCCAGCACCACAGGCAGATGCTTAGTCCACTGTGCCACAGTGCTGGCCCCAGTCACTCTTCTATGTGTAGTGTTTTGTCACTTGATATCTCTTTTCATTATCTTGGGTACTTCCCAGCAACCGAGACTTTGAGAATTTGGAAAGTCTGGGGCTGGCGGTGTGGTGCAGTGAGTTAAAGCCCCAGTCTGCAGTGCCAGCATCCCATATGGGCGCTGGTTTGAGTTCCAGCTGCTCCATGTCAGTCCATATGGGAAAGCAGCAAAGGATGGCCCAAGTGCTTGGGCCCCTGCACCTGTGTGGGAGACCCAGAAGAAGCTCCTGGCCCCTGTCTGGCTCCTGGTTTCAGATCAGCTTAGTTCTGGCTGTTGGGACCATTTGGGGAGCGAACTAGAAGATGGGAGACCTCTCTCTCTGTCTTCACCTCTCTCTGTAACTCAATCTTTGAAATAAATAAAATCTTAAAAAAAAAAGTTAGAAAGGCGTGGCTTTAAGAATTGCTATGTCCATCAACCCATGTGCAAATAAATGAAATGTGGCACATTCATACGGCATCATGTTATTCACCAATAAGAAGATTTAAGTACTGATGAGTAGGACACAGATGAACCTTGAACACATTATGTTAAGTGAGAGAAGCCAGGCACAGGAAGCCATATACAGTATGGTTTTGTTATGTGAAATGTTGAGAAAAGACAAATCTGTAGAGACAGAAAGTAGTTAGTGATTGCCCAGGACTGTTACGGGGTGAGGGCAGGGGCATGACTGCTGATGAGTATTGAATTTCTTTTTCTGGTGATAAAAATGTTCTAAACAGATTGTGGTGACAGCTGAACTATTCTGTGTATATGGTTAAACCATTGAATTATGCACTTCAAATGAGTGAATTTTTTTAAAGATTCATTTATTTATATGAAAGGCAGAGTTACAGAGAGAGAGAGACAGAGACAGAGAAGGAGATCTGCTGGTTTACTCCCCAAATGGCCACAACCAGAGCAAGGTCAGACTGAAGCCAGAAGACTGGAATTCCATCCAGGACTCCCACATAGGTGCAGGGGCCCAAATCCTTGGGCCATCTCCTGTTGCTTTCCCAGGTGCATTAGCAGGCAACTGGATCAGAAGTGGAGCAGGGGCCAGCACTGTGGTGCAGCGGGTTAACACCCTGGCCTGAAGCACCAGCATCCCATATGGGCACCAGTTCGAGACCCAGCTGCTCCACTTCCGATCCAGCTCTCTGCTATGGCCTGAGAAAGCAGTAGAAGATGGCCCAAGTTCCTGGGCCCCTGCACCAGTGTGGGAGACCCGGGTGGGAGACCCATAAGTGGAACAGACAGGACTCGATCCAGTGTTCCTATGGGATGCCAGTGTTGCAGGCAGTGGCATAACCTGCTATACCACAGTGCTGGCCCCAAATGAGTGGATTTTGTGGCCTGTGAATTATAGTTCAATGAAGATTTAAAAAAAAAAATTTGCGGAGCCAGTGCTATGGCGCAGCGGGTTAAAGCCCTGGCCTGGGAGACCTGGAAGAAGCTCCTGGCTCCTGGCTTTGGATCAGTGCAGCTCCGGCTTTTGCAGTCAACTGGGGAGTGAACCAGCAGATAGAAGACCTCTCTCTCTGTCTCTGCCTCACTCTGTAACTCTGTCTTTCAAATAAATAAAATAAATCTTAAAAAAAAGTCTTAAAAAAATTTTGCTCTGGCTGCTTTGCCTAGGCATAAGTTGAAGCCCTAAGTAGATGGAGTTATCTATCACTCTTTAAAAAAAAAAAAAAAAAAGATTTATTTTATTTATTTGAAAGACAGAGCTACAGAGAGAGGTGGAGACAGAGAGAGAGGTCTTCCATCTGCTGGTTCACTACCCAGATAGCTGCAATGGCTGGAGCTGCCCTGATCCGAAGCCAGGAGCCAGGAGCTTCTTCCAGGTCTCCCACGTGGGTGCAGGAGCCCAAGGACTTGGGCCATCTTCTGCTGCTTTCCCAGGCCATAGCAGAGAGCTGGTATTTATCACTCTGAATCCTGTGTTGGCAGTGAAAGATTTGAAGGACAAACAGAATGCTAATGTACTGTCAGGCTCTACAGAATAGGTTGTCTGATGCAAGATGACAAATAACTGAAAAATATTAAAAGGTAATGAAAACAAATTTTTAAGAGTGGGCTAAAAGCTATGACACAGCTGAACATACACAGATAATCTGCATTGGTTTAGAAGCTTGTTTTTTGCATCATAAATAGATCCACGGTCCAGATAAAGCCTCAGCCTGCAGTGTTGGCTTCCTATATGGATGCTGGTTCGAGTCCCAGCTGTTCCATTTCCAATCCAGCTCTCTGCTATGGCCTACGAAAGCAGTAGAAGATGGCCCAAGTCCTTGGGCCCCTGCACCCACATAGGAGACCTGGAAGAAGCTCCTGGCTCCTGGTTTCGGATTGGCACAGCTCCAGCCATTGAGGACAATGGGGGAGTGAACCAGCAGATGGAAGACCTCTCTCTCTGTGCCTCTGCCTCTCTGTAACTGTGCCTTCCCAATAAATAAATAAATCTTTAAAAAGAAAAAAAAATTAACCCAATCCTACAAACTTTAAAAAAATTTAAGTAAATAAATAGCCCCACAAACTGTGGCTATCAATTGGAAAGAAAATGGGGCACAGTGGATTAAGCCACTGCTCATATGCCCACACCCCATATTGGAGTGCTGCTTCCAGTCCCGACTACCCTGCTTCTCAGCCAGTTCTGTGGTAATGCACCTGGGAGCGTCAGGTGATGGTTCAAGTAGCTGCTTCCAGGACTGAGTTTCAGGCTCCTGGCTTTAGTCCAGCCTAGAACCAGTGGATAGAATCAATCAAAAAATTTCTCTCTCTGTCTTTCCCCTTTTCTCTCACCCCTCCCTCCCTTTCTCTCCAGTTTCAAATAAATAAATAAAATACCCGAGAGGAGCTACTTTGGAAGGGAGATTTATTTCAGCTTCAAGTTTTGAAGGTTCATAGTCCAAGACTGGGCAGCCCATTGATTCAGGCATTTAGTGAAGCGAAAAGATGGTGGAGGTACAGTCTCATGCTGGGCCTGAGAACCACCTAAAAGGACAAGCTTCCAATGACCTAAAGACCTCCTATTGGATCCACCTCCCTCATACCATAATTAGATCAGGTGTCCACAACTAACAGAGAGAGAAAGATCTTCCATCTGCTAGTTCCCTCCCCAAATGCTGCAACAGCCCACATTGTTCCAGGCCAAAGCCAACAGCCAGGAACTCCACCCAGGTCTCCCATGAACCCAAGTCCTTGGACTATCCTCTGCTGCCTGCCAGGTGCATTAGCAGGAAGTTGGATCCAAAGCACAGAGTAGCCAGCGCTCAAACCAGGCACTCTGACATGGGCATTCCCAGCAGTGGCTCCACTCAGTCCATTCATTGGTAGCATAAGACTGGGGTTTAAATATCTGAATGAGTTTGGGGAACCAAATCCTGTTCAGATCATAACATATCAACTGCTCATATCTGGTAAAAAGAAGGGGGCTGGCATGGCGCAGTGGGTTAAGCTGTCACCTCTCATGTCAACCAGCATCCCACATGGGCACCAGTTCAAGTCCCGGCTGCTCCACTTCCAATTCAGGTTCCTACTAATGCACCTGGGAAAGCAGTGGAAAATGGCCCAGGTACCTGGGCCCCTGTCACCTACATGGGAGACCTGGATGGAGTCCTGGCTTTGGCCCATCCCACTTTGTAGCCATGCGGCCATTTAGTACTGAACTGGCGGATAGATCTCTTTCTCTCTCTGTATTCTTCCCTCTCTCTGTGTAACTCTGCCTTTCAGTTAAATAAATCTTTAGGAAAAAACGGGGTCGGAGGAGGAAGGAGGAGATTTCCTTTTTTCCTCTTATCCTCCCTCTCTTTCTTCAAAAAGGAGTCATAGGGGCTGGCACTGTGGAGTAGCAGGTTAAAGCTCTGGCCTGCAGTGGCAGCATCTCATATGGGCACTGGTTCGACTCCTGGCTGCTCCACTTTTGATCCAGCTCCCTGCTATGGCCTGGGAAAGCAGCGGAAGACAACCCAAGTGCTTGGGCTCCTGCCACCCACATGGGAGATCCAGAAGAAGCTCTTGGCTCCTGTCTTCAGCCTGACCCAGCCCTGGTTGTTGGAGCCATTTTGGATAATGAACCAGTGGATGGAAGACCTCTCTCTCTCTACCTCTGTCTGTAACTCTGCCTTTCAAATAAATAAAATAAATCTTAAAAAAAATCATAACCCAGAATCTGAAACAATTTCAAGGAAAGGTACATTAATTGAAGGGGTGTCCCCTCCAGTTCCTTCAGTCCTAGAGGCTCTTAACTAGTGGGGTGGATTTGCAGAGCACAATTAATATTTTTTAAAAAGATTTACTTATTTATTTGAAAGGCAGAGCTAAACAGAGAGAGAGAGAGAGAGAGAGAGAGATCTTCCATCCACTGGTTCACTCCCCAGTTGGCCACAATGGCTGAAGCTGCCCTGATCCGAAGCCAGGAGCCAGGAGCTTCTTCTGGGTCTCCCATGTGGGTGCAGGGGCCCAAGGACTTGGGCCATCTTCTACTGCTTTCCCAGGCCATAGCAGAGAGCTGGACTGGAAGTGGAGCAGTTGGGTCTCAAACCAGTGCCGATATGGGATACTGGCACTGCAGGTGGTGGCTTTACTCACCACGCCACAGCGCTGGCCCCACAATTTATATTTTTAATAACTAGATAATGAGAGATATTCCAACTGTAAAACTTTTGCAGAAGGATAGGATAGGTAGGGATTGATACCAAGTGTATGTTGGGCTATCCTCCATGTGAGGACAAAGGGCTGGGGTGGTCATAAACGATAATGGAGAATATTGAACTGCAAGTGATGAGATTAGCCTATGGGAAAGAGAACTGCAGGCAGAGATTGTGGGGTAAGGAGTTCATAGTTCTTAGAGAGAGGCTAAGTCCAACTAGATTCAAAGGTTCCAGTTAGGGAGTGGCAGAGAAGAGAAAGTGAACCTTAGAAAGGTTGGCTAGTGCCAGTAAGACCACAGTCCCCAACAGGTGTTCTAGAAACTCCGGTCCTGCAAAATATTCCACAGGGAAATCAGCAAAAGGAAAGACAAAGGAAGGGTCATGGGCAAATAGATGGGAAAACAAAACGTAAATATGAGCACACTGTTTCCTCTGGAGGATCACATCCACAAGCCGTCCTGCAAAGAATCTGTTTAACTTTGTTGTTAACCCCTTGTGTCCCCAACTAACATGTTCACAAGCCCCCCCTCCACCTCCATAATACCTATTAAGATCTCTCGGCGTTAGTATTTTATGGGAAATAATCCTTTGGCACAGCAGTTGAGACACCACTTGCTTCTCATACCAGAGTGTCTGGTTCGAGTCCCGGCTCCTCTGCTTCCAATCCAGCTACCTGCTACTATGCCTCCTAGGAGGCAGAAGATGGCTCGAAACATGGGAGACCCAAATTGAGTTCTGAGCTCTTGGCTTCAGCCTGGCCCAGCTCTGGCTGTTGTGGGCATTTGGGGGAGTAAACCAGCAAATGGAAGATCTGTCTGTTTTCTCTGCCTTTGAAATAAAATGAAAGTAAATACATTTAAAACAATTTTAAAAGAACTAGTATTTTGCAGAACATACTTTGGGAAGTTATATATGGACCCAGAGGAACCATTCTTGTTTCGTATTAATGAATCTTAGACATCTTACCTTTGCTGGTTTGTGATTAACAGAGATTTTGGATTTCTCTTTAGTTCTCTTTTCATAGTTGTAATTTTAAGGTTCAAAAGTGCAAAGAAGGAACGGGACGAGTTGTGATGTGGCGGATGGGAATCCTGAACAGCTATACCATGGAGTCTACGTTCGGCGGGTCCACCCTGGGTAAGTATTCTGCTGTACCATGGGCCAGCGTGGCAAGGGCAGGCCAAGCACAGCACCTGGAGAAGTGACTGGCCGAGGGGACTTCCGTGTCTGGTCTCATTCTAAATCCCAGTACCCAAAATATGAATGTGAAAGACAGCACTGGGGAGGGCACTATAGCATGGTGACTCAGCACCTGGAACCAAGCAGAAGTGGGTTTGGGTTTGAGCCCCCTTTATGAGATGTGATTCTGGGTAAATATCTGAATCCCTTTGAGCCTCATTTTCCTTTAACTGTGATAGTACCTGCATGATAGACACAAGTTAATAAGACACTGCATGTCAAGGGCCTATACAAGGTAAAACGTAAACAACTGTAAGCATCGTAACTATACATTGTTTTCATTGTCAAAGATTCTTCTGGACCAGACTAAAACAAGGGGAGCGACCCTGTCCAGAAGCAGGATATTGTATGTTAAGGGGTAGTCTTTCTAGAAAGATACTAACAAATTAGATTGACATTCATTCATTAAGATTTCATAAGAAATGTTCATGGATTATTCTTTCCAGGCAGTAAAAGAGACACTCATTTTACCATTGAGGATCTGAAGTCCTTAGGTTATCATGTCTGTGACACACTTCTGGATTTCTGTGATCCTGACCAAGCCAAGGTAAAAAATGGAGTTTTAAGAAATGTGGTGGAGTGCCGGCGCCGCGGCTCACTAGGCTAATCCTCCGCCTTGCAGCGCCGGCACACCGGGTTCTAGTCCCGGTCGGGGCACCAGATTCTGTCCCGGTTGCCCCTCTTCCAGGCCAGCTCTCTGCTGTGGCCAGGGAGTGCAGTGGAGGATGGCCCAAGTGCTTGGTCCCTGCACCCCATGGGAGACCAGGAGAAGTACCTGGCTCCTGCCTTCGGATCAGCGCAGTGCGCCGGCCGTAGCGCGCCAGCTGCGCCACCCATTGGAGGGTGAACCAACAGCAAAAGGAAGACCTTTCTCTCTGTCTCTCTCTCTCACTGTCCACTCTGTCTGTCAAAAAAAAGAAAAAAGAAAGAAATGTGGTGGAGTAGGTGTTTGACTCAGCAGTTAAGATGCTTCTTGGGGCAGCTGCATCCCGTATCAGGGGACCTGGGTTTCAGTCTTGGCTCCAGTTTCCTGCTAACGCACACCTTCAGGGGCAGCAGATGATGCTCAAGTACTTGGGTCTCTACCACCCACGTGGAAAGCTCAGACTGAGCCCTAGCCTCCTGGCTTCAGCGTGGCCCAGCCCCAGCACTGCAGTCATCTGGGGAGTGAACCAGTGGATGGAAAATCCCTCTGTTTCTGTCTGTCTCTTTACTACTTCCTCCTTCTACCTTTGAAAAAAAATAAATGAAAATTTTTAAAAAACAAATATGGTTATGATCCTGTGATCAGGTTCACATGGGTCCAAAGTCAGCCAAGTGGAATTATAGGTGATCTCTGTTTCCTTTTTAGTATTTTTCTGAGGACCAGCATAGTGATGTAATAGGTTAAACTGTTGCCTGCAACGCTGGCATCCCTTATGGCACTGGTTCAAGTCCTGGATGCTCCACTTCTAATCCAGCCCTCTGCTAATGGTCTGGGAAAAGCAGTGGAAGATGGCCAAGTCCTTGGGCCCCTGCACCCACATGGGAGACCCTGATGAAGCTCCTGCTTTGACCAGGGCTGGGCCAGTTCGGCTATTTGGAGAATGAACCAGCAGATGGAAGATCTCTCCCTCTCTCTGTTTCTCTCTCTGTCTCTCTCTCTCTGTATTTTTGCCTTTCAAGGAAATAAAATAAATCTTTAAAAAAATGTTTTCCTGAAGTTTTTATAGTCAAAGAAAATAAGAATGCTTCCAGCCTGCACATGGTCAGCAAATGGTAAGACCTCAGAAGTCCATAAAAATATGGAGACCATGCTTCAGCACATTTCTGCCTCACTTGGAAGCTTACCTGTAGCAGCACAGTTCGTACTTCCCTTTCTCCTATATCAGAAAAGCAAGTGTCCTTTCTGTTCTCCAAAACTAACCTTGTTTTGCCTTTTTTTTTTTTTATTGATGGAATAACATTGTTTGGGGGCACTTTTTTTTTTAAAGATTTATTTTTTTATTTATTTATTTGAAAGTCAGAGAGAGAGAGAGAGGGAGGTCTTCCATTAGCTGGTTCAGTCTCCTAATGGCTTCAATGGCCAAGACTGAGCCAGGCCAAAGCCAGGGACTTTTTCCACGTCTCCCATGTGGGTAGCAGGGGCCCGAACACTTGGGCCACCCTCCACTGCTTTCCCAGGTACATTAGCAGGGAGCTGGATCATAAATGGAGCGTGGAGCAGCCAGCACACGAACTGGTGGCCGTATGGGATGCCAGCATTGCAGGTGGCGGTCTAAGCTGCTGCGCTGCAACTCTGGCCCTAACCCTGCTCTTCATGCACGTGTTGACTTCCACTACAGCCTCCCTGAGGCCTGGTCTCATTAATGACATCTGTTCTTTCCTGTGCTCTCTGTGTTTTATCCTACTATTTCTTTTTTAAATATTTATTTACTTATTCTTTTATTTATTTATTTATTTGGCAAGTAGAATGACAGATATAGGGGAAAGAGAGAGAGAGAGATCATACATCCACTGGTTCACTCCCAAATGTCCTCAGTAGCCAGAGCTGGGCACACTGAAGCCAGGAGCCAGGAGCTGGGCCACCCCTGTGGCTGGAGGAGGATTTAAGTACTTGGGCCATCTAATGCTGCTTTCACAGGGCCACTCACAGGAAGCTGGATCAGAAGCAGAGCAGCCATGACTCAAGCCAGCACTCCTGTATGGAATGTAGGTGTCCCTGAGTGGCAGCTTAACCCACCGTGTCACAATGCCCACCCCTCCACTTCTTAATTCCTCCCTTCAACTACAAGCTGCTCCTGTCCTAAAACACAAACAAGTTTCTATGACTTGGTTTCCACAGCAGATTATTTCTGTTTCCTTTGATCGTTAAACTTCTTAAAAAGCAGTCTGGGGGCTGGTGTTGTGGTGTAGCCAGCAAAGCGACCGCCTGTAGTGCTGACATATCATATGGGCGCTTGTTCGAGTCCTGGCTGCTCCACTTCCGATCCAGTCTTCTGCTAATGCACCTGGGAAAGCAGTGGAAGATGGCCCAAGACCTTGGGCTCATGCACCCAGATGGGAAACCCAGAAGAAACTCCTGGCTTCTGACTTCAGCCTGGCCCAACTCTAGCCATTATAACCATTTGAAGAGTGAGCCAGCAAATGAAAGATCTTTATCTCTCTCTCTCCCTCTCTCTCCCTCCCTCCCTCCCTCCCGCCTCCTTGCTCCTTCCCTAACTCTGCCTCTCAAATAAAAAATAATAAATCTTAAAAAAAAAAAGAGAGAGATGAGTTAGAGACCATTGAGTGCAGACTGCTTTTTTTTTTTTTTTAGATTTTTTTTTTTATTTGAAAGGCAGACTTAGAGAGATAAAGAGAGGGAGAGATCTTCCATCCATTGGTTCAATCCCAGATGACCACAATGGCTGTGGCTTGGCCAGGCCAAAGCCAGAACCAGGAACTCCATCTGAGTCTCCCACATGGGTGGTAGGAGGCCCAAGCACTTAGGCCATCTGCTGCTGCTTTCCCAGCTGCATAAGTAGAGAGCTGGATTGGAAGTGGAGCAGCCCAGACTTGAAACAATATTCATATGGGATGCTAGTAACCCATTGTACCACAGTGCCAGCTCCTAACTCAGTTCTTATGCCCCTTCTGAATTGTTTGCCCTGGGAACACTTGGAATGCACTACTTTGAATGCAGTCATATGATGAAAGATATTTAGAGGTGGGTATTTGGCACAGCAGTTAGACATCACTTGGGATGTCCACATCCCATATTGGAGCATGTGAGTTTGAGTCCCTGCTCTGTGTCCAATTCCGTCTTTGTGCTAATGCAGACCATAGGAGGTAGCAGGTGATAAATCATGTAATTAGATTTCTGCCATCCACATGGAGACTTGGATTGAATTCTAAGCTCCTGGCTTTGGCCTAGTCCAGCCTGGCTGTTGAACCAACAGATCTCTGTCTATTGTTTCCTCTGATTCTTGGGCCTTTCCAATAAAAATAAATAAATAAAATGTTAAATTTTTAAATAAACTTTTTTTTTTATAAATAAAAATTTGGACACAACATGGCCTGTAAACCATCTTTGCCATAAACCTAAACTTGAATAATCTATTCTAACCTTTCCTTCCTTGCTACTTAAAAAAAATAAATCAGATCATTACATTGTTTAGAAGTTGGCTTGGGGCTAGTGTTGTGATGTAGCAGGTAAAACTGTCCCCTGTGACACCAGAATCCCATATGGTTGCCAGCTCATGTCCTGGCTGCTCCACTTCTGATACAGCTCCCTGCTAAGAGCCTGGGAAAAGCAGCAGAAGACCTGCCACCCATGTAAGAGAACCGGATGAAGCTCCTGGCTTCTTTCTGGCTTTTCTGTCCCAGCTCTGACCATTGTGGTCATCTGGGGAGTGAACCAGCAGATGGAAGACTGACTCCCTCTCTCTCTCTCTCTCTCTCTCTCTCTCTCTTTCTCCCCCCATCTCTGTAACTCTGACTTTCAAAACTAATAAATACTTTAAAAAAATGTATTTGAAAGGCAGAGACACAGAGAGAGAGGAGGAAGGGAGAGAGAAAAAGATCTTCCGTCCACTGGCTCACTCCCCAGATGGCCACAACAGCTGGGGCTGGGCCAGCCCGAAGCCAGGAGCCTGGAGCTTCTTCCAGGTCTCCCACATGAGTGCAGGAGCCCAAGGGCTTGGACCATCTCCCACTGCTTTCCCAGGCTCATTAGCAGGGAGCTGGATTGGAAATGGAGAAGCCAGGACTCAAACTGGCACCCATATGGGGTGCCAGCACTACAGGCAGAGGCTTAACCTTCTATGCCACAGCACTGGCGCCATAAATTAATCTTGAAAGAAAAAAAAATGAAAGACAGACACTGAGTGGGACACCTGTGTCCCCCATTGGAGTATCTGGATTCAATACTGGCTCTGGCTCCTGACCCCGGTTTCCTGCTAATGTACACCTGGGGAGGTGGCAGTGATGGCTCAAGAGGCAGCGTCCCTACAACCTATGTGGGAGGCCCAAGTCGAGTTCCTGCTTCCCAGCTTCAGTCCCCACCTCGTCCAGCTGTTGCTGACATTTGGGAAGTGAACCACTAGCATTAGCAGGTGCCTGGATCAGAAGTGGAGAAGCCAGGACTCCAGCCAGCACTCCAATATGGGATGCAGGTGTCCAGATGGAGGCTGATCCCACTGCACCACAGTGCCTGCCCCTGCATCTTATTCTTCTTAGTGTCCCCAGCAATAAGTAAAATGCCTTCCAGCACATCTTAGTAAATATTTGATGAATAAGTGAATTAGCAAAAATAGTTCTTTCGGGGCCAGTGTTGTGGCAATACAGGTTAAACTGCTGCTTGCAACACTGGCATCTCATATTGGAGCAGTGGTTCAAGTTCCGGCTGCTCCACTTCCAGCCCAGCTCCCTGCTAATGCTCCTGGAAAAGCAGCAGAGGATGGCCAAAGTGCTTGCTCCTTGCCACCTACGCGGGAAACTCGGGTGGAATTCCTGGCTCCCAGCTTCAGCCTGGCCCAGTCCTGGCCACTGTGGCCATCTGGGGAGTCAACCAGCAGATGTAAGGTCTCTTTTTCTCTCTCTCTCCATCTCTCCATCTCTCTCTGTGACTCTGCCTTTCAGATAAATAAAATAGATCATTTTTTAAAAAATTAGTTATTTTTTTTTTACCCTCACAGTTCACTCAATGTCTAGCAGAACTTAAGGAGCTCTTACAACAGGAAATCCACAAGAAATTCAATCAACTTGGACAAGATATGGATTTAGAAGGAAACTGGAGTGACATCTCTTTGTCTGACATTGAATCCAGGTAACAAACTTCATTTCAAAGAAAAACCAGAGAAAGTTTCTGTTTTTTTTTTTTTAATAAATAAATACATGTTTATTTATTTATTTATTTTGAAAGAGAGAGGAAGAGACAAAGAGAGATCTTCCATCTGCTGGTTTGTTCTTCAGATGGCCACGACAGCCATGGCTAGGCCAGGCTGGAGCCAGGAGCTTCATCAGGGTCTCCCACGTGGGTAGCAGGGGTCTGCACACTTGGGCCATCTGCTGCTGCTTTTCCCAGGCCATTAACAGGGAGCAGGACCTGAAGCGGAGCAGCCAGGACTCAAACTGGCCCACATGGGGGATGCCGGCACTGCAAATGGTAGCTTAACCTTATTTATTCGTGGGCCCCTATTTATTTATTTTTGTTTTGCTTGCTCTTTTTTGGTTGGTTTGGGTTTTAGGCCTCAAGTACAAAAACATTCCTATTCCTCAGCTCATGGCACAGTTATATAAACTCCATTTCTCCAGCAATTATGAGTTGAGTGCATGTTCTTTGCCAGCCTCTGTTTAAGGCACAAGAAAGGAGTAGGGAGTTGGGCAGGCAGTTTGTATAGGGCCTTGTGGTTGTTGTAAAGCTTTTGCCTGTTATCTAGGGGAGATGGCAGGCCTTTGGAAGGTTTTGAGTGGAGAAGCATCATGATCTGAGTTAGGTTTTAGTTTCAGCAAGAACACCTGTATTGAGGCGGGTGTCATGGCACAGCAGGTTTATCTACCACTTGGAACACCCACATCCCATATCAGAGTGCCTGGCTGATTTCTTGTCTACTCCACTTTCAATTCAGCCACCTGCTTATGTGCACCTGGGAGGGAGAAGCTGGATGGGGTTCCCAGCTCCTGTCTTCAGCCTGGCCCAGCCCTGGATATTACAGGATATAAGATTTCTCTTTGTCTGATACTCTGCTTTTCAAATAAATAAATATATCTTTTTAAAATTTTAAACACCTATTATATTCCAGGCAGTGGGTCAGCACAGGAAACACAATTGAATGAGGCAGAGTCCCTGGCCCCAAGGAGCTCCCAATATATTAAAAAAAAAATATATTGGCCGGCGCTGCGGCTCACTAGGCTAATCCTCCGCCTTGCGCCGCCGGCACACCAGGTTCTAGTCCCGGTCGGGGCGCCAGATTCTGTCCCGGTTGCCCCTCTTCCAGGCCAGCCCTCTGCTGTGGCCAGGGAGTGCAGTGGAGGATGGCCCAGGTGCTTGGGCCCTGCACCCCATGGGAGACCAGGAAAACCACCTGGCTCCTGGCTCCTGCCATCGGATCAGCGCGGTGCGCTGGCCGCAGCGCGCTGGCCGCGGCGGCCATTGGAGGGTGAACCAACGGCAAAGGAAGACCTTTCTCTCTGTCTCTCTCTCTCACTGTCCACTCTGCCTGTCAAAAAAAAAAATATATATATATATATACACACACATATATATACATATATATATATATATATATATATATATTTGAAAGGCAGAGTTACAGAGAGGCAGAGGTAAAGAGAAAAAGAGATCTTCCATCTGCTGGTTCACTCCCTAAATGGCCTCAATGGCCAGAGCTGGGCCTATTTGAAGCCATGAGCCAGGAGCTTCTTCCTGGTCTCCCACACGGATACAGTGGCCCAAGCACTTGGACCATCTTCTGCTTTCCCAGGCCATAGCAGAGAGCTAGATGGGAAGCTGAGCAGCCAGGTCTTGAACTGGTGCCTATATGGGATGCCGGCACTACAGGTAGCAGCTTTACCCACTACACCACAGCGCCCGTCTCAATATTTTTTAATTTAAAAAAATTCTGGGGCCAGCACTATGGATTAGAGGGTTGGGCCTCCACCTGCAGTGCCAGCATTCCATGTGAGTCCCGACTGTGCCATTTCTGATCCAGCTCCCTGCTAGTGTGCCTGAGAAAAGCAGCAACGGATGGCCCAGCTGCTTGGGCCCCTGTACCTACTTGGGAGACCTGGATAAAGCTCCTGGTTCCTGGCTTCTGCCTGGCCTAGCCCCAGCCATTTTGGCTATTTTGGGGAGTAGACCAGCAGATGAAAGATCTCTACCCCACCCCCACATTCTCTGTCTCTGCCTTTCAAATAAATTTAAAAAGCTTTGAAAATAAAGCAATAATTTTTAAAAATTCTGCTGAAGCCAACTGAAAATGCATGCTTTTTTTCTTTCTTCTTCTTCTTTTTTAAACAAAATGAACCCCTCTATTATGGTGAGAGGCTACTTCTTGCCTCCCGTAGAGACCTTCCCTGCCTTTAACACTCTGAGTTCTTCATTAAGAGGCTGTTGCCATAACACAGGTGAAAGGCGTGGGAAAGGCTGGGGAGGAGGTGAAGGGCAGGAGTCTGGCGTTGGACTTGTTGAGTCTGAGGTGTCCACTAGACGTTTAACAGACAGTGGCCAAGCAGTTGGCTGTGGAGTTCAGTGAAGAGGGCCAGTGGAGACTCGTCAAGCTTGAAACTGGGTGGGACTCCAAGGAAGTCAGCGCAGATAAACAAAAGGTCTGAGTCTGAGCTGGAGGTCACAGCCCTAAAAGGGCCAAAGAGATAGGAAGGGGCCAGCAGGGAGATGGAGAAGAAGGAACCAGAGGCTGGGAGAAAACCCAGAGAGCAGTTCTTGGGTCAAATCCTGTCATTCGGCCCTTAAAACATGTCAGGGGGCTGGTGAAGCAGGTTAAGCCGCCGCCTGCGGCACTGGCATCCCATAGTGGAGCGATGGTTCAAGTCCCGGCTGCTCCACTTCTAATCCAGTGCTCTCCTACTGTGTCTGGGAAAGCAGTGGAGGATGGCCCAAGTCCTTGGGTCCCTGAACCCATGTGGGAGACCCAGAAGAAGCGCCTGGCTCCTGGCTTCGGATGGGCTTAGCTCCAGCCATTGTGGCCATCTGGGGAGTGAACCAGCAGATGGAAGACTTTTCTCTCTCCCTCTCTCTGTCTCTCTCAGCTTTCCTCCCCTCCACCCCAGCTGTTATGGGCATTTGGGAAGTTAGCAAATGGATGGGTTCTCTTTCATTCTCAATCTCTTTCACCCTGCCCTCTTCCCTCAACCCTTCTATCTATCCCTCTCCCTATTTCTATCTCTCCAATAAAATTAATAATTACTTTTAAAAGAATTCTTAGTGACTGAAGCATAGATATGGCAGCAGATAGTGGACAGTGACCTGGACCCATGTGGCTGGTCTGCTGTTTCATTCCTGGACATATAATAAGTTATTTTCCTTCCTTCTTTCTTTCCTTTGGGGAACAGCACCAGCGGTTCTGACAGCTCCCTCTCAGATGGTCTCCCTGTTCACCTACTGAACATAGAAGATGAGGTGAGGTTGCATTGACTCTTACACCCAAGAAGTAGCAGCCTTACAAATACACTATTGGATCATTTGGCGAAACGTTTCTGATTGTCCTAGGATGTACAGAAGCTACAACAACGTGTCCTACCTAGTCACCTTGCCCCTAGGGTCTTTCATTTTGTCCTTTATAATTTTCTGGCTTAGTTATTAAGGCCACCTTACGATAACAACCAAACCGAACCTTACATCTAATGATTAGTGTTATCTAGACCTGCCGTTATTGCGTAAGTAAGCTGGTTTCATATTGTAAATCACAGACACGTGGCTATGGGTGCCCCTTTGCAGTCTGCCTGTGGTGCTGCCTGCAGAGCAGCCTCTGCTCAGGAGGCAGCAATGGGAGGGTGCATTCTGGATTAAGCTTTGTGTCTCGAGTGTTGGGTGGAAAGAAGGCTACGTGTGCGTGGGCGTAGTAAGCAGTTTCTCTGTCCTTTCTGGACTAGGTGAATCAGAAGAAGTTTAAGAAGAAAAAAGAAGAAGATGCTGCAGACCAGGAAACAGCGAACTAAGCAGTATCAGAAAAATCATTTGATGCGCAAATTCAAGTTAACAGAAGATGCCCCAGTAAGAAAGCCGTGCTACCTGCTTCTGCTCTCTGGTTGCAGAGTGCCCCACAGAGGGAGCAAGAAAGGGGTTAAAGCTCACACTGAACCAAAAGAGGGGTGGGGCCTGGGGCAGAGGGAGCCCTTCTGACTTGGGGTCAGAGTGTGAGGTTTCAGCCTTGGCCCGCCACTCCTCTCCTGTACCTGGCACGGCAAGTCTGGGGCTTGTCCAAGACTGGACTTCTGGAAGGAGGTGGTACTGGAAAAGTGACGCCTGCTTAGCACCTTCTCAGCCTTTCTCCCAGCTGCCATGTACATGCCAGACCCGCTGCTTGCTGAAGACAAAAATGCTTTCAGAAAGGGGAGTTTTGCAGTTGGGTGAGCTGGGTGGATTATGAATGGACTGACTGAAAAACGTGCTCTATTTTCACTCAATACTTCTAGGAAAAGGCAGGATTTACTTCTACTCTGCAAAAGCAGCCAACCTTTTTCAAAAATTTAGAGAATTCCACTTCAGTGATGAAACATGAAAAACCAAAGTTGAATGAGGTATTACTTTTGCCTGACTCTGTCACCCAGGTTCTTTGATTTCCCCAATTAGCACATCTCTCCCACAGGCTGGAGACTGCAGTAGTCTGTCCGTGCCGCTGGCAGCAAGAGAACCTAAGATGGGAGAAGTTGGCGTGGGTATTTGGCACTTGAGACTCCTGTAATCCCATATTGGAGTTCCTGGTTCAAGTCCCAGGTCCTCCACTAACAGTCCAACTTCCTGCTAATACTCATCCTGGGAGGCAAGAGATGGTGTCAGGCACTTGGGCCTCTGTCCCCCTTGTGAGATACTCAGTTGAGTTCTGGGCTCTGGGCTGTATCCTGGCACAGCCCTGGCTATTGCGGGCACTTGGGAAGTGAACCAGCTAATGAGAGAGATTGCTTGTTTGTCTCTCTGCTTTTCAATTAAAATGAAATAAAATTTTTAATCATTTTTAAAAATATTTATTTATTTTGAAGGGCAGAGTTACAGAGAGGGAGAGACAGAGAGAGATCTTCCATCTGCTGGTTCACTCCCCAGTTGGCCAGTGCTGGGCCAAGCTGAAGCCAGGAGCTTCCTCCAGGTCTCCCACGTGAGTGCAGGGCTCCAAACACTTTGGCTATCTTCCTCTGCTTTTCCCAAGCCATTAGAAGGGAGCTACATTGGAAGTGGAACAGCTGGGATACAAACCGGTGCCTATATGAGAGTTGGCATCACAAGCAGCAACTTTACCCACTAAGCCACAATACCAACCCCAATTTTTAAAAAAATTTTTAGTTAAGGTATATAACTTTCATGTATTTCCTATATACAGCTTCAAGAACATAGTGATACTTTCCACCCCACCCTTCCCTCCCTCCCCAGCCCCAGTTTTTTAAAAAACAATAAAAAGATTGGTGAGGATATGGACCCTGCTTTGAACTAGACATCACTGAAATCTTACATTAAATATTGGTGATTCATGATTTTATACCAAGAACATAAAAACAGGCTGCTTTACCATCCCTTCATCCATATACCTAGTCAACACGTTTTAATTTTTTATTTTTTTTTTTTTAAGATTTATTTATTGAAAGTCAGAGTTACACAGAGAGAGAAGGAGAGGAAGAGAGAGAGAGAGAGAGAGATCTTCCATCCGCTGGTTCACTCCCCAGTTGGCCGCAATGACTGAAGCTGCCCTGATCCGAAGCCAGGAGCCAGGAGCTTCTTCTGGGTCTCCCATGTGGGCAGGGGCCCAAGGATGTGGGCCATCTTCTACTGCTTTCCCAGGCCATAGCAGAGAGCTGGACCAGAAGTGGAGCAGCAGGGACTCGAACCGGCGCCCATATGGGATGCCGCACTGCAGGTGGTGGCTTTACCTGCTACACCACAGCGCCGGCTCCAACATGTTTTATTTTAATATCAACACATATCTACTACTTGCCAGGCCCTTTACTGGATGCTGGGGATACAACATTGAACAATTAATAGCCCAGCCTTAAAGACCTTAGGGTCTGGTTGGTGTTGTTTGTTTGTTTGTTTGTTTTTTCCCAGGCAGAGTTAGACAGTGAGAGAGAGAGACAGAGAGAGAGTTATAGACAGTGAAAGACAGAGAGAAAGGTCTTCCTTCTGTTGGTTCACTCCCCTAATGGCTGCTACCACCAGCGCTGCGCCGATCTGAAGCCAGGAGCCAGGTACTTTCTCCCAGTCTCCCATGTGGGTGCAGGACCCAAGCACTTGGGCCATCCTCCACTGTCCTCCTGGGCCACAGCAGAGAGCTAGCCTGGAAGAGGAGCAACCGGGACTAGTAGCCGGCACCCCAACCTGGGGTGCCAGCACCACAGGCAGAGGATTAGCCAAGTGAGCCACAGAGTGGGCCATGGTGGGGGTTTTAACAAGTAAGGAGGAAATTATATCACAGAGCAGGATGCAGTGGAAACACAGGGGAGAGGCACCAAAACATATTTGTGGTTATAAAATCTTTGACTATTTTATACATAAAAATAGCTTTTGGAGAAGCAGGTATTAGAGCACAGCAGGTTAAGCTGCTCTTGGAATCCCCGTGTCCCATATCAGAGCGCCTGAGATCAGGTGACACCTCTACTTGGCTTCTTATCCAGCCCCCTGCCAATGTGCCTGGGAGGCAGTGAATGATGGCGCAAGTTCTTGAGTCCTTGCAACCCGTGTGGAAAACACAAGGAGCTCCTGGCTCCTGGCTCCTGGCTCTGGCTTGGCCTGGCCCTGGTTGTTGTAGGGATCTGGGGAGTAACCTGGAAGATGGATGGAAGATCTCTATCTCTATCTACTTCTCTCTGTCACTGTGTCTTTCAAAGAAATAAAAATGAATAAACAAACATTTAAGGGGCCGGCATTGTAGTGCAGTGGGTTAAGCCACCACCTGCTATGCCAGCATCCCATCTGAGTCCTGGTTTGAGTCCTGGCTGCTCCACTTCTGATCCAGCTCCCTGCTGATGCATCTGGGAAAGCAGTGGAGGACAACCCAAGTCCTTGGATTCCTCATCCACAAGGGAGACCTGAACAGAGCCACAGGCTCCTGGCTTCAGCTTGGCCCAGCTCCTGCCATTGCAGCCATTTGGGAAGCAAACCAGCAAATGGAAGTTCTCTCTGTCTCTGTCTCTGTCTCTGTCTCTAACTCTACCTTTCAAATAAATAAATTTTTTTAAAAATAGCTTTTGTACTGTAGTAGCTAATTCTTAGTGGATAGTGAGCCCTCCTTATGTAGAATGTTACTCTGGGGCTAATAGTGAACAGTGAGGCCCGCTACTGTACCCTGGGAATCCCACGGATCACAGCTGTCCCTGGTCCAGAGGGAGGGCCATTTATTTGGTCGCTAATGTAACAGTGGTAAGAGCACAAACTTCGACGTCTGTCTGAAGTGTAGGTTTCACTCAACACTATTTTGTTGGAGTTTAGCATCCCCAGTCTGAAAATCCAAAACTTTTTGAGTGCCAACATGATGCCACAGTGTAAAATTCCACACTGTATGACTGTCTCATGTATAACATTTTTAAAGGTACTATATAAAATTACCTTCAAGGTATGTGTATAAAGTATACATGAAACCTGGGCCGGCGCCGCGGCTCACTAGGCTAATCCTCCGCCTAGCGGCGCCAGCACACCAGGTTCTAGTCCCGGTCGGGGCGCCGGATTCTGTCCCGGTTGCCCCTCTTCCAGGCCAGCCCTCTGCTGTGGCCAGGGAGTGCAGTGGAGGATGGCCCAGGTGCTTGGGCCCTGCACCCCATGGGAGACCAGGAAAAGCACCTGGCTCCTGGCTCCTGGCTCCTGCCATCGGATCAGCGCGGTGCGCGGGCCGCAGCGCGCCAGCCGCGGCGGCCATTGGAGGGTGAACCAACGGCAAAAGGAAGACCTTTCTCTCTGTCTCTCTCTCACTGTCCACTCTGCCTGTCAAAAAAAATAAAAAATAAAAAAAAAATAAAGTATACATGAAACCTAAGTGAATTTTATGTATTTTTCTTAAAATTTATTTATTTGAAAGGCAGAATGACAAAAAGAAAGAAACAGAGATCTTCTATCCACTGGTTCAGTCCCTAAATGGCCCCAATAGCCAGGGGCTAGGCCAGGCCAAAGCCAGTAGTAGGAGCTCCATCCAGTCTCCCACGAGAGTGGCAGGGGCCCAAATACTTGAGCCATCCTCTGCTAGCCTCCTGGGCACATTAGCAGGAAGCTGAATTGGAAGTGGAGCAGCCACGATCAGCATTCTGATATGGGATGCTAGTGTTGCAGACAGCGGCTTAACCTACTATGCTTCAGTGTCAGCCCAGGATTTCATGTTTGTTTAGATTTTGATCATATCTCCAAGATATATCATAATGTATATGCAAACTTTCTAAATATCTGAAAAAAAAAATCCCAAATCTGAAACAGTTCTCATCCCAAGCTTTTTGGATAAAAAGTACTGAACCTGTGTCCATGAGTTACTTAACCCTACCTAGGACTCAGCTCCGGCATCTGAAATGTTGAGGCGATGATACCTACACTCTGAGGTTGTGGTGAGAATTAGATACACAAATGTGTGAAGTACCTGGGAAACAGTAAGCCCTCAAATACTAGTCCTCTCTCCTTTTCTTTGAATTGTTACTCCTTTGTGTGTTACCATATTTTTGGTGTTAGAATCTGATAATGAATCAACACCTATGAATAAAAGACGCACAGTTAATGTGTACTCAACATGTCCGCATTTTTTCAAGTGGAAAGTCCAGTGAGGTTGCGTTCTTTTATTTCAGACACAGTTAAATGGCAGAGACAAAGGCACCTGCCGGGAGCCATCAGTGACCACCCTGACTCTACTTAAGAATCAAGAGAGAACGCAGGTACCTCACCGAGTGCGTGTGCCGGCAGTTCACTTGAATTTCTTTGCAGTTGTATTGTATGATTTGGGTGGGTGATGATCCACAGTCCCTACTGTTTCACCTCTTCAGTGTGGTTCTGCTCAGGTGTATCTCGAAGGCAGCTACAAACCAGCTGGCCAGCCTGGGGCACAGCCAACAGGCACCAGGAGCCTGGAGGAAGCCCACCCAGAGCTTAAAAGCTTCCCAGTGAGAATGTAATTTTATTTCAACAAAGTTCTCCTTAGGCAGCCATTATTTTGTAAGTTTCTGGCAACACACAAGGTAAAGCAGTGACAGTGAATGTTGCCATGGTTCTCAACCCTAGGCAGTCACCACCCACTGTGAGTTGTGCCTCACACCCAGGGCTGCCACATTGACAGTGAGATGTGAGTGAGTTGCTTTTGCAAAACAGTAAGTTATGTGGAATTCCTATTTATCACTATAATAACCTCTCGCAGGCACATTTGCGTCTGCCTGTTCTTTCCTGAAGGGGAGAGAGGTGGGGAAACAGCTACTAAGCTGTCGTTCCGCCTGTGTCCATGGAAGAATGTTGTTGGATGAACTTGTGTGTCCTAGATGGGGAATGGACAGTCCTCCCAAGGTGATGTCCCTGTGGCCTCTGCCAGTCTCTTGTTTAGGGATTCTTAGTTTGATGCCCTCATTTGCCTGTTAGTGTCTTCTGCAGAACCTGCTATGTGCAAGGTCTGTAACGGACGAGTAAGGTGCTGCAGGTAGTCATGTGGGGTGGCAGTTAGGATGCTGCTTGGATATCTGGATCCCCTATAGGAATGCCTGGGCTTGAGTCTCAGCTCCATTTTCGGTTCCAGCTTCCTGCTAATGCCTACTCTGGGAGTAGGTGATAGCGGGTGATAGCTCAGTACTTGGGTCTCTGCCTTCCATGTGGGAGGGACCAGGCCCAGTCCAGGTTGCTGCAGCATGTGGGGAGTGTACTGGCAGATGGGAGATCTCTGGCTCATTGTCTGCCTTTCAAATAAATCAAAGTGAAAGAGAACATAGAAAAAAAATACTAATAAGATGCTCCAGGAAAGGTGACAAGACGGATCACTGTGTGTGACAGAAACTGAAGAGCAAGGAAGAGAGTTCCAACAAAGTCAGATCAAAGTTTTCAGTCCTGACAGACTGATGATGAACTTGTCCTGTTTCTTCCTCTGCCATTCATTTCACAAAGTCTGCAGGAAGCTAAAGCCAAATCCCACCGCTGAAACTTCCCATGCAGGCCGCAGCGGGTAGCCATGGACTCAGGTACATCCAGTGGAGCCGGTGGCTGCCAAAGCGGTCTTCACCCTTCCTTTCTTTTCTTTTCTTTTTTAGGATTATTTATTTATTTATTTATTTGAGAGGGAGAGACAGAGAAAGGTTGGTTCCTTCCATTGGTTCAGTCCCCAAATGGCTGCAACGGCTGGAGCTGTGCCGATCCGAAGCCAGGAGCCAGGTGCTTCCTCCTGGTCTCCCATGCGGATGCAGGGCCCAAGGACGTGGGCCATCCTCCACTGCCCTCCCAGGCCACAGCAGAGAGCTGGATGAGAAGTGGAGCAGCTGGGACTAGAACTGGCCATGGCGCCAGCCCCTCTCTCTCTCTCTCTCTCTCTCTCTCTCTCTTTTTTTTAAAGATTTATTTATTTATTTGAAAGTCAGAGTTACGCAGAGAGAGGAGAGGCAGAGAAAGAGAGAGGCCTTCCATCCACTGGTTCACTCCTCAGTTGGCTGCAACGGCCGGAATTGCATCCATCTGAAGCCAGGAGCCAGGAGCTTCCTCTTGATCTCCCACACAGTTGCAGGGGCCCAAGGACTTGGGCCATCTTCCACTGCTTTCCCAGGCCATGGCAGAGAGCTGGATAGGAAGTGGAGCAGCTGGGACTCTAACCAGTGCCCATATGGGATGCCAGCACTGCAGGTGGCGGCTTTACCTGCTACACCACAGCGCCGGCCCCCTTTCCTTTATTTTCTTCAAGTTCTTGGTGTGCTGGTCTCTGTTGGAGATGTGGGCGTTTGACTTCCATAGCATGTCAGACACACAGAGCTGAAAACATGGGCAGACCACCACCTTGCTAGAGCAGGTCCTTTTCTCCCACTGAGAAATGTTTCTAGACAGCCTATAAAACACAGCCCCTCTGCTTCCCAGGGCAATGAAGATGTCACCCATGGGCCCTAATTTGACCATCTGACGAACCAGGCCCTGTAACAATGGCAGTACTTTGGTATTTGGGGAGAAAATACAAGTACTGTCACTAGATCCCAATAAAGCCAGCCCCAACCATAAGTACAATTAGAAATTGCAACATACAGTGAAATCTGCTTGTTTATCTTGTTTGCACAGAGTAAGAAGCCAGGCTTTACAGTGCCATGCTCTCCAAAGAAAAGTACAAACTCCAGCCAAGAGCCAGCCCCAGGTATGAAGCCAAACTGGCCTAGGACTATATATGCTGCCACAAAGACAGGCCGTGGTGCCATGGTGACATACCCATCCTTACACATATACACATACCCATAGGTGCGCGTGTGTCATGCCATGCAGGCATGTCCCGGGGACGTTCTGGGCCAGACAGCCTGTGTGAGGCAGGGAGAAGTAGGCCTGGGGACTGTCTGTCTGTCTGTGGTATACTGTGTTGCACACTCATCATGTGCTGACCCCCCACTTTGTACTCAGACTCCGTCCATGTCCTCATGATGCACACCTCATCAATTCAGTTATTTTTTTCATAAAATGAAATGTTCTTATAACGTATGGAAAAGCTTCCTCTAGCAGCAGCCAAAGTGTGTGCTCGTGGAACTACAGCACAGATATACCACATTTTACCCATAGCTACTCTCTCCAAAATTATATGCAAATCAACTTTAAAAGATTGAACTCTTTTAAAAGTATTTTGGGAGTAAGCTATCCAAAAATGTCTTGTGTCAGCTTTCTGGTGATGGGTGATCAGTCAGACTGTTAGTATACAAGTTTAGCTCCCAGTAAGCTATTCCCACATAGAGACAATTCCTGTATTACCCAGAATTTAATGTTACATATATTATGTTCAACAAGGTTATGTAAATTTTTAACCCTATGATTAAAATTCTTTCTCTCTAACCAGTTGTTTCCTTTGATTGGTTAACTGCATAATCTTATGTGAACAGATATTTTATGTCAGCCATTTCTTTCCCAGAGTCCCTCATGAGCACCAAACAAACCAGACAGTCTGCTGGCTGTGACTGTCATGGTGACCTGCTGGAGTCACGTTAAAGAGGTCCCTCCAGCTCGGGCCAGCCTCCCTGTTTTGGCCTTACTCTTTTCCTTTCACATTGGATTGGAAGGTTTCTAGCACATTTTTCATTATCACTTCTCAGCTCTTTCCACACCCACCACTAGCTGGGTGAGTAGTGATTAGAACGACACGCAACACACACTTCATTAGCATCCCCGTGTATCAGTCTTTTTTTAATTTCCAGTTTGAGAAACTGAGCAGAGCGCAGAGAATTCCCAGGTGCAGTCCCCCACACCAAGGGCGTCCTTCTGCAGGGCATGAGCTCTGCGCTCTGCACCTGGGGAGTTTGCTGATGCCGTCCCCTGTGCCACACTTGCCCATACCCTAAGCCCTCAGTCAGCGTCCTGAGTACCGAGAAAGCACCCAGCCAAAACCCCGCTGTTTGTCCCTAAGAGGATGTCCTTAAAGGACAAGTCCCCAGACCGCTGTAAACAGCTGAAGGCGAACTTGTTTGAAAGTTGGTCAGCACTACGTATTTTTGCTCCAAATAACTTTGGAGAAAGGTTACGAAAGGCACCCTAGTATGATGATGACATTTTTGGAATAAAAAAATCAGAATACATGATGAGTTGCTTGTAGAAATGCTTTTTGAAAACACAAAACTTCCTGAGAGGTGTGGTTTGGATGTGTGTTAAAGGGGCAAAATCCCATGAAACCCAGGCATAGCCTCCACATCCAGCAACTCCTAGAAGGCCATGCTCATTAGATTCCAAGCACCGCCCAGCTCACGTGAAGTGAATCCTGTCAAGGAGTCATATTTGTTCTCTTTAGAAAAGAGTGGCAAGTTTTCCTCCCTGGATTAGGAAGAAGTGCCCGCAGGAGATTTACATGCTGCAGCCTCCAGAAGCCAGTGTGCCTGTCATTTCCCATTCAGCTTTTGTTAAAGGCTGAAGGAGTGACCCTGGCTAGAAATTTTAGAATGAAAAACTCAGGTAATCCATTCTAACCACCTGAACGGTCTGAATAAACCTCATACTGCTGGAGAAACCACCTGAACCTGTCGATGACTGACGGTGAGCCGAGGACGGAGACAGGGCGCAGTCGAACAGAGTGGGTGCAGGGGACAGAGGTCAGCTTCCCGCTGGGCTGTCAGGCTGTAGGGGAGGAACAAGGAATGTTCTCCATACGTGGTTTTTATAAACTAAACGCGTAGTCCTAGTACAAGTAATGCTTTGAGATTCAAAATGGATTTCGGGTGAACACATTTTCTTAAGAAGCCCAACTTTTTTGGACCCATGGCCTAACCGAGGTCCTGTCGCCATCCTGGTGGCAGAATGCCCTTTTCCGGCCGGGGAGAGGCGCCAGTGGTATAAACGCATGCAAGCAGGCAAGGCGATGGCAGTAAGCATTGCTCTTCAGCTTTTGGTGGAATACTAAATACAGGGATTCCATATGGACAGAGGGGCTCTTTGAGAACAAAAATTCTAGGTGTTTTTTTTTTCTCACTTGTCATTAAAAGGGGCAAGAATTTTGGTGCTTTCCTGGATACCTGGCCACTCTGACACGACCTTTGATCACGGTCGTTGATTACATTGTCACCAAGCTTGACTTGACGACAGCTCTTAGTCCATTTTCTGTTGCTGTAATTGCACACTACAGACTGGGTCACTTATAAAGAACAGAAATGTATTTCTTACAGTTTTGGAGGCTGGGAAGGCCAAGGTCACAGGGCTGCACGTGCTGAGGACTCTCGCGCCCCGAAGCAACACAGGGCATCCAGCGGTGAGACAGAGCAAGCGCACCCCAGAGAGCTCACTTTTCTAACAAAGCCACTCCCTCAGCAACTAGCCTATGGACTCATTCATCTGCTAGTTCACTCATGCCGCCCAGGCACTTCCCAAAGATACCATCGACACTGCTGCATCGGGGCCCACCCAGCCCACAGCCATAGCTACTGATGAAATGCCACACAGACGCTCTGCTTGGCAGAAATCGAGCTGGCGCCCTCTGCTCTTCCGGGCTGCTCTCAGACTCACTTCTGGTTTAATTATCTAGAATAGCAGCAGAGACGTTTCTCGGACACAGAGACTTGGCCCCTTCTGCACAGGATATCTTTGAAGCCACAAAGCCCGCTCTGTCCTGTATAACCACAAAGACAGACAGTATGCACTGGCTAGGTTTAGTCAGACTAAATGCCGCCAGTGGCATTTCTCTGTCCATTTCTTAGTGTAATATTCCTGGGGGAGATAAGCTCATGTCTCATAGTGCTTGCCATTCATCTTTGTCCCCTTTTCTCTACCCTGCTGCTGCCTGCCCGATTCACTGAAAGCTCAGTTTATTTTCCCTGTTAACTGGGTTGCACCCATGGCCCACACAAGACAAACTTCCTTGTGAAACCAGGCTTAGATAGGCATTGTTTTCATGCCTCTGTTTCCTGACAAAGTACACCGCATGGTCCAAAGTGATACTTGTTTAATAAGGGTGATTCCAGGAATGTACAGAAAGCAGTAAAGATTGAGGATCCCTCACCTGAAAATCCAAAATCCTAAATCTGAAACTCTCCAAACTCTGACATGCTACACATATCCTCACATGAGGGCCATGATTAAAACGTAGGCACACAACATACCAGTTATTCAGCATCCCCCCCCCCCCGGGAAAAAGACCCTCCCAGCTCCTTCAGCTGTAATACATACCCTTTGTTTCATGTACTAAATTATTAAAAGTATTGCATAAAGTCAGCTGCAGTCTGTAAGGTGAACATGAAACATAAGTGAATTTCAGCTTGGACTTGGTGTCCGACCCTCGAGATGTCTCATTATGTACGTGCAGCTATTCCAACACCTGCCCCGCTGCATCCGAAATCCGGACCACTTCTGGCCCCAGGCGTGGCGGGTAAGACACTCAGCCTGTAATGCTTCTTGAAAATTCTGACTGCCGACACTTGCACCTTGAGCCATGGGCTACTCCCACTAAACCATCATGCAAAAAGAATGCACTGAGCAGTGGCTAGCTTAGAACTGCGGAGAATGCCATGATTTGTAAGACTCCATCCCTGCTTAAAATCCAGGTGGAAAACAAAGGTAGTGCACAGACAAAAACAAAGCGGGCGTCTGGTAGCTTCAGAACACTGTAGGGGTTGAAGAGCCGCGGGGTCTGAATCCCATCCAGGCCGGGGCTGGGGACAGAAGCGGAAGTTGCTTCACTGCCCTGGACCTGCGTTTGTGACCTCAAAGGTGAAGAGCCATGGAGCAGAGCCGCCTGAAGCCGTGTTTTCATGCAGTCAGTCATCTGCACACGCCTCTTAGCTCTGGATCCACAGCAGTGATGCGCCTGAAACAGCCGCCCTCTCCAGCCTGGGCTCGGATCTGGTTCTTGGGGAACACGCCAAACAAGGCGTCTGGCTGTTCCGAGGGCAGCCCCTCCCATCATGTCCCAATTTTAGCGCAAGCCGTCTCTCCCCCTCGGCCCCTGAATTAGCTACTGCTATGTCACTGGATTCAGTGACCCCCCAAGTCCCTTCAGCGGACCCCTTTGCAGCTCCATCCAGTGCCCTTTCTCCCTCGTGGCTTCACTTCCCTGTTCAGCCCAGATCCCCGCGCTCATGACGTCAACTGCTCTCTTGCCAGCACCCCAGTGTCTTCACTGTCTGTCCTCCTGCCCCAGCCACCTGGTGCTTTCCCCAGCTTTGGATCAGCGAGTTATCCCAGCCATCTGTCTTCTCCACTCCAGCCTACATCCGGGCTGCCAAGATGGCTGCAGGAAAACCCGCTGCAGGGTAGCCGGGGCTACCGCACGAGTGTCGCCATCGCCTCCAGCCCCGGAAGTCTGCCCTCTGCTGACACTGGCGCTCCCTCACCTTTGCCCCACCTTGGCTGTCCCACACCTTCTCCATCTCCTGCAGTGCCCTGCTCCGACTCCGCAGCCGGCATCCCCCAGGGAACAGTCTTGCCCAGAGGTGCCGGTTCAGAAGCTGGGCTCTGGCGAGGCAGGGGAGAAAACTGCGAACACTTTCCGGGCTCCCTGTGGCCGCTTTCTGTGGCGGTACTGGCACATTTCAGAAGGATTGCGTGATTGAACCAGTGAATGAATGTGTGATCCTAGTAAGAGCCAGGGTTCTGACTCCAGCAGGAAATAAGAAGAAAGGTCCTATGAGAATGGATTAGCTTTGGAAGCATTAGTGTGAACTCTGAGATTGAGAAAATATGCACATTCAGGGCCAGTGTTTTGGCGCAGCGGGTTAGGCCTCCGCCAGCAATGCCAGTCCCTTGTGAGCACCAATCCAGCTCCCTGCTAATGTGCCTGGGGAAGCAGCAAGAAATGGCTCCAGTACCTGGGCCCCTGTCACCCATGTGGGAGACCCGGATGGAGTTCCAGGCTCCTAGCTCTGCCCTGCCTAACCTCAGCCATTGTGGCCATTTGGGGAGTGAACCAGCAGATGGAAGATAGCTTTCTCTCTCTCTCACTCCCTTTCTCTCTGTACCTCTGCCTTTCAAATATATAATTAAATCTTTAAAAAAAGAAAATATGCACATTCATCCCCTCAGCAAACCTGGGGACTGGTTCCCGGCTCCCCCACGGATGCTCAAGTCCCTTGTATAAGGTGGCATAGTGTTTGCAAATAACCTACACACATCCTCCCATGGACTTCATATCATCTCAGATTACTTACACCCGGTACCAAGTAAATGCTGTATACCTAGTTATTATGCAGTATTGTTTAGGGATTGATAACAGGAAAAAGTGTGCTTCTTCAGTACAGATGCAGGGTTTCTTTTCAGATATTTTGGTTTAGACAAGCATTCCAGGTTGGCGGAATTCTTGGAGGCATGAACCACCCCCCCCCGCCCGCCCGCCACATGCAGAGAACCAATTGTATATGCATGCTTAAACATGTGTATTCAAGTCTATATGTGATAATGTGAATGGGCACTCATATATGATCCGTGCATGGATGTGTTTTCAGTGCTGTCTGTTAAAAAGACCCAAAACCACACCCCCTTAGCGATAAGCACATTTTTTTTTTTTTTACAGGAAGAGTTAGACAGTGAGAGACAGAGAGAAAGGTAGCAGTAAGCACATTTTGCACTGAGATCTTGGTGTCTGGCACCACTAAGAGGAATCAGGGCCCATTAGAAAAATAACTGATTCCAAGGCTGGGGCAATGTACATATGAGATGAGGAGCCTGGGACATCTCACTATGCCCAGAGTGCTCTAAAATAGGGTTTTGTTGGGGCTGGTGCTGTGGCATGGCTGGTGGGGCTGCCGCCTGCAGTGCCAGCATCCCATATGGGCGCTGGTTCAAGTCCTGGCTGCTCCACTTCCGATCCAGCTCTCAGCTATGGCCTGGCAAAGCAGTGGAAGATGGCCCAAGTCCTTGGGCCCTGCACCCATGTAGGAGACCCAGAAGAAGCTCCTGGCTCCTGGCTTCAGATTGGCACAGCTCTGCCTGTTGTGGCCAATTTGGGAGCGAACCAGCGGATGGAAGGTCTCTCTCTCTCTCTCTCTCTCTCTCTCTGTGTAACTCTGACTTTCAAATAAATAAATAAATCTTAAAAAAATAATAAAGTAGGAGCTTTTCACAGGACAGGAACCAGATCAGAGGGGCTCCCACCTGCCAGATCTGGGATATTAGGCACCCAAATGATTAACAAATCATAACCCATTGGGAAAATGAGGAACCAATGAGTTCATATCAGTGGGGGAGGGAGGAGAAGTGAGGGTTCTTGCTGAAGTAG